AAATAAATAAGAAAAACGTCTAAATAAAGAAGGAAAGGAGAAAAAGAAAGTAAAAAATATAATTTGACTTTATTGACACTTCTAGCTTAAGGTCTAGACATAGCTAATGCAACCTAAAAATATGGGTATTTGAACCTCTTTTTATTTATAAATTATTAAAAAGATCTATGAAAAGTGGCACATTTTGTTATATTAATTAAAAATTAAAAATGTTAATGTGGATAGAAAAATTTGAACCACAAATCTATAAGTTATGCACCCCCTATTTGTACTTACTTATCAATATACTAGAGTATTCTTTTTAACCTTGGGTTCACCAATACAAATTTAAAAAGATAATTAGAAAAATAGTAGTATTATATAGGGGTTAGGAAGGGGAGGATGGGTGCATGTGAACCCCCTCCCCTTCATATACATACGCCTCTGTAGATATGCTCTTGTAGACGTTAATTAGCTGCGTTGCTGGAAATAACCAACTCATTTTCAAGCTTTAAATGACAAATGGAATTGCCACATTCCCTTTTAATTACCACATGGCATTTATATATTTTTTTTAAAATTAATATACCCATTTTAAATAACCTATCCAATTTGTAAATCATCCTTTTTAATTGACATGTATATCATCTCTTACGGTTTTATAATTGTTCTAAGCCTAATGTAAATTTATCATACAATTTCATTAATTTTTAAATTTTTGGTCATTGTCAGGGTTATAAATGTGATTATTGAAAATGGGTTGATGATCCACTCCATCCTAGAGTTGAAAATCTCATCCACATTTTAAAGAAGGAAAACGATAATCTTCATCGTGAAAAGAAAGTTTTGGAGACGAGGATGGCTGATTTTGAAAAGTATTGTACATCTGATATTGAAGAAAATGGTGAATGTCTAGATGAGATTAGTGTCTCCAAGAGTGAGGAGGTTGTTGTCGATAATGAAGAGGTTGTTGTCGATAAGATAATAATGATGGGATTAAAAAATCTAAGAAAAAAGTTTGTAAAATGTGGATTGTGATAGCTATGTCGTGGTGTTGTTTTGCAGCATTCATCACATTTTGGGTGATGAAATAGAAATTTCTAACCTTTGTCATATGTATTTGGTAATCTTTAACTTAGAAAACATTAGGGCTTTGATAATAGGTTAAAAGGGATGATTTTTAGGTCGGATATGACATATGGGTCAGTGAAAAGGTCTGATTTACCGATCGGATAGGTTATCGAGGTGTATTAATTTATTTATTTATTTATTAATATAAATGTCATGTGGTAATTAAAAGTGGATGTGACAATTCCATTTGTCATTTAAAGAAAGGAATATGAGTTGGTATTTCTAGCAAAGCAAATAACGTCTACAAGTACATATCTATGCGAAAAGTTGGACGGCGAAAGCATGGGTGAGTCAAACTTCAAACAGGGGAATTTCTAAACATTTTCAAATAGTTTATGGGCATATTTGACCCCTTTTCCCCTTTAAGATCATTGGGTGTAAGTTCTTGCATGTAAAAAAAAAAAAAATCTTGCATGTAAGGGGGAGTTAGATTGGATTGTATTTTCTATTTATTAATTGCCTTTTGAGTTTTAGTATCAAAAGCTTAGTATTTTTTTTAAAAGAAGGTATATCTAAGGAATATTTCGAGCTTTTTCTGAAATCCTCCGATTCGAACTAAGGTCCCTTTAAAAAGAAGCCACAACACCTAGGGACTTTCCCTTCGAACTTGACACATTTTATTCGATATATTCTTAAAAAATCATCAAAGTTATGATGTGATCATTTATTAATTTATATTAAGTAGCAATTACCTTGTAGAGATACATATAATAAAAGAAAATGAAATTAGTAATACACCCGTGAAAGTCACATCAATAATATTTGTAAAGATAATATATATATATATATATATATATATATAATCTTCATTTCTAATTATGTGAATAGTAGAATTTATAATCATAAGAATATTTATTTGTTTTTATCGATATATTGGACGTGAGAAAGCCTGTGGCCTATTAAAAAATGTCTCGTAAAATAATTCGCTCTTAAAATCACAATGCTCAAAATATGCTCACAATTATTCACGTGATAGCTCTGTTAGAAATTTGATTAATTTTCAAAGTTAAATTAGATTATATTAAATTGATAATTTTAAAAAATAGATATTTAAAAACTATACGAAATGTACTATAAATTGCAATATTTTGCATATCAATATGATGAAAATATATATAGTAAAATGTTAGTCAAAGTTTTTATAATTTGACTCTAAAAAAAAGAACTATTATATATATATATATATATATA